GGATTATGTTCTGGAAAATAAAAAAACATATTATTCTATAGTGTTGACAAAATTATAATACAAATGGTAGGTAATAGGCAAAATTACTGTATCAAAGTTAAGTTTACTGAGGTTGATAACCACACTGGTTATATGACAGAATATCAATATTCTTAGAAAACTCACAGAAAAAGTTTTAACAAACACAGGCCAGGTGCAGTGGCTCACACCTGTAATCCCAGCACTTCGGGAGACCGAGGCAGGCAGATCACGAGGTCAGGTGTTCAAGACCAGCCTGACTAACATGGTGAAACCCCATCTCTACTAAAAACACAAAAATTAGCCGGGCATGGTGGCGTGCACCTGTAATCCCAGTTACTTGGGAGGCTGAGGCAGGAGAATTGCTTGAACCAAGGAGGTAGAGGTTGCAGTGAGCCGAGATCGTGCTACTGCACTCCAGCGTGGGTGACAAAGCAAGACTCTGTCTCAAAAAACAAAAACAAAAACAAAGACAAAAACAAAACAAATACATATGAACATACATATACATATACACATACATACATATGTACTGAGAAAGGGGAAGGAGGGAGAAAGGGCATGCATGCAAAAGAGCACATGAATAAATGATAAAGCAAACTAAGTAAAATAGTAGGTCATTTTATGATGCCGTTTACATAATAACATATATGCCACATGTCTTAATCTGTTTTGTATTGCTATAACAGAATACCTGAGACTGGGTAATTTACAAAAAAGTTTATTTGGCTCACAATTCTGGAGGCTGGATGGTAGCCCATTTGGTGACGGTCTCGTGCTGCTTCAAATCACAGCAGAAAGAGGAAGGGAAAGCAAGCGCATGCAAAGCGGCCAAACATCAGAAGCAGCCTTGTTTTATAACAACTTGATCTCACGAGAACCAACGGAGTCCAAAAGAACTAACCCAGTCTGCATAAGCCATTCGAGAAGGCGGAGATGCCACAACCAAATACCTCTTAAAGGCCCCACCACCTTTCAATACTGTTAAATTGGCAATTAAATTTCACCATGAGTTTTGGTGGGGACAAACCACATCCAACTCACTGCACCATATATATTTATTCTACTATTTTTATTTTTGCAAATATTCTGTAATTTTGAAGCAATTTCAAAAATCAATTCAAAAATAAGTATGAGGAAGCCCACTAACGAAAATGCCAGCAGACTGAAGTGGTCACAAGAACCCTCCAGAAGAAAACAATAAGACTGGATAAAATACAACAAATAACTATTCAAAGGCACTGGAAAATATACGCAACCAGCCAGAAGATGGGGAAGAGTTTATGCTAAAAAAAAATTGCAACAGAAAGGGGTAATAATTTTGTTTGTGGCTTTCTTGCCTGAGAGCACTCCTAATACCTACAGAAACAAGAGGAGGGGAGGGGAGGGGAGAAGAGGGGAGGGAAGGGGAGAAGAGGGGAGAGAAAGGAAGAGGTAGGGGAAAGAAAAAAACAATAAATGAAATTTTAAAATTCATTAGACAGGTTTAGTAGCAAACAGAAAAAGAAAACAGATTAGTGAATTTGAAAATAAATTAATTAGAAATTACCTATATCCAACCACCCCTCAAAAAAGAGAGGAAAAAGATTGAAGAAAAATGAACAGAAGCTTATGAGATACTATGAATCTTCAGAAACACATTTCCAGCGGTCCAATATACAGGTAAACTGGAGTCCTAGAATGAAAGGAAAGAGTCAAAGGGACAGGAAAAATATTGAAATAATAGCCAAGTATTTCTCACAGTGAGTAGAAAATATAACTTAGAGAGCCAAGAAGCTTCATAATGCTCAAGTAGTAGAAACACAAAGAAAACAACTCTTAGAAACATCACCGTCAAACTGTTAAAGGCCAAAGATAATGAGAAAATCTTGAAGATGGCCAGAGAAGATCAAAATAGAAAAGAACAATATAAAAATTACTCAACAAAAACTATAAAACTATGAAAGCCAGACGACACTGCAATGCTAGAGAAAAATATGTTAACCAGCGATTCTATCTCCAGTTAATTTTCGCAAACTGAAGAGGAAATAATCTTTTCAGATTAAAATGGAAAATCCGATGCTGGGTAACTGTACTAAACGTTAAAGGAAGTCCTTCAAGATGAAGGAAAATGGTATCAGGTGGCAACTTGTATCTACATTAAGGAGTGAAGCGTATAAGAAATGTGACAGATATAAAGCACACACACATATTTCTACATATATTTCACTTAATTTCTTTAAAAATACATATTACTATACGATGGCTTAAAAATTGTAACACTGGGCCGGGCGCGGTGGCTCAAGCCTGTAATCCCAGCACTTTGGGAGGCCGAGACGGGCGGATCACGAGGTCAGGAGATCGAGACGGCCACTGCACTCCAGCCTGGGCGACAGAGCGAGACTGTCTCAAAAAAAAAAAAAAAAAAAAAATTGTAACACTGTAGTATTCGGTTTAGGATTAGCCAGGCCTGATGGCACGCACGTAGTCCCAGCTATTTGGGAGGCTGAGACAGGAAAATTGCTTGAGCCCAGGAGGTGGAAGTTGCAGTGAGCCGAGATCGTGCCACTGCACTCCAGCCTGGCGACAGAGCAAGACTCCGTATCAAAAAAAAAGCAAGTAGGGGCCGGGCGTGGTGACTCACGTCTGTAATGCCAGCATTTTGGGAGGCCAAGGCAGGTGGATCACTTGAGGTCAGCAGTTCAAGACCAGCCTGGCCAACATGGTGAAACCCCATCTCTACTAAAAATACAAAAATTAGACAGGTGTGGTGGCACACGCCTGTAGTCCCAGCTATTCAGGAGGCTGAGGCAGGAGAATTGCTTGAACCTGGGAGGCGGAGGTTGTAGTGAGCCGAGATCATGCCACTGCACTCCTGGGTAGGTGACAGAGTAAGACTCCATCTCATTAAAAAAATTTAAAAAGCAAGTAGGTAGGCCACAGATTGGAACATCTGATAAAGAGTTCATCTCAATGATTTATTTTTAAAAATTCAAATTCAAATCAACAAGAAAAGGCAAAAAGAATGGAAAAGGCTTCACAGAAGAGCAAACATCAAGGCCAGTCAAGGAATGAACATATAAAAAGATGCTCAAACTCAAAACTAATTAAATTACAGCTACTATGAGAGGCTATTTCATACCCAAAAGATGATCAAAACCTGAAGTCTGACCACACAAAGTATTAGGGAGGATGCAGGGCAACTAGAATCCTCACACAATAAAATGCTATGTGAGTGTGAGCAATTGCTATAGATTGAATTCTGTTTCCCCAAAAATGACATATTGGAGTCCAAATCCCTAATATCTCAGAAGATGAACTTGGCCAGGCGTGGTGGCTCAAGCCTGTAATCCCAGCACTTTGGGAGGCCGAGGCGGGCGGATCACCTGAGGTCAGGAGTTCGAGACCAGCCTGGCCAACATGGTGAAACCCCATCTCTACTAAAAACACAAAATTAGCCGGGCGCGGTGGCGGGCGCCTGTAGTCCCAGCTACTCGGGAGGCTGAGGCAGGAGAATGGCGTGAACCCGGGAGGCGGAGCTTGCAGTGAGCTGAGATCCCACCACTGCACTCCAGCCTGGGCGACAGAGCCAGACTCCGTCTCAAAAAAAAAAAAAAAAAAGATGAACTTATTTGGAAACAGGGTTGTTGCAGATGTAATTAGTTAAGGTGAGGTCATTAGAGTGGGCCCTAATCCAATATGAATAATGTCCTTACAAACAATGAAAAGTTGGACACAGAGACAAGCACACAGGGAGAATGCTATACGAAGATGAAGGCAGAGACTGAGGCGCTGCTCCTCCACACCAGGGATTGCCAGCAAACCACCAGAAGCTAGAGGAGAGGCATGGGACAGATTCTTCCTCACAGTCCTCAAAAGGAACCAACCCTACCAACACCTTGACCTCTACTTCTAGCCTCCAGAACTGTGAGAAAATAAACTTCTGTTGTTTAAGCCACTCAGTTTGTGGCACTTTGTTGTGGCAGCCCTAGAACACTACTACAACAGCTTTGGAGAATAGTTTGGCATTACTTTGTCAGATTGACCAGGTGCATATTCTTTCACTCAGCTGTCCTATTCCTAGGTACACATCCTAGATAAACGGGTGCTTATGTGCCCAAGGACATATCTATAAGAAGGTTCACAGCAGCATTCTTTAATTGGTCAAAAGAATACACTGTTAAAAATGGAATGGATAAATGAATTGTATTGTAATTATGCATATAATACAATATTATATAGCCATAAAAATGAATGAAGCAGAGCTACATATACCAACATAGTACAAAATTAGTCTCCGTGAAGAAAACAAAGCACAGAAAGATATACATAATATGACGACATTGATATAAAGTTTTAAAATATGCCAAACAACAATATACATGATTTAGCGATTCATACATATGAAGGAAAGAAGAATAAGGCCATGCATGAGAATTATAAATCCCTAATATTGAAAAACAATTCCATTGGAGGGATGGGTATAGGATACCATCAGGGAAGGGGAAATGGGGATTTCAACTGTTTAGGTAATTTTTTATTTCTTAAGCTGGGCCACTGGCACGTGAGTATGTATTTTATTATTAGTCATAGCTTAAGTATTGTGTAATAAATTATGGGAATTGGAGAGGTGGAGATAATCAATTAATCTTGGCGTAAGAGTAGCTAGAAAGTATCTAGAAGGGTCGTAGACTTAACATTCATGGGGTAGATGCAGTTTTTAAGATCAGGTGAGAAAGAAGACTGTGAATGAGGAAAGACTAAGCATTACAGAGAAAACAAGTGAGGAATGGAGGCTTCCTGGTGTAGGAAAGAGACAAGGGAACCAGGGAAGTCCCTCCCTCAACTGAAGATTATGTTCCGGAAGGAAGACCATGTCAGGCAACCTTCCTCTTGGCTTCGGAGGCCTGGAGAAGAGCTTCTTCCCAGTATCTGAGAGATGCCTCCTCCTTCTCTATCTGACAAGCTGTAGATTATCCCATCTACCCCACACTCACACTCACCTGGACAGAGGTCCAGCGAATATTTTCTCTCCTCTCTCCAGGGCTCTTCCCCTCGCTCCAGCTGAGCAATGAGTTTTGGTTTGGAAGATGGAATTTCTATTCATAGGGAAGAAAATGAGGACATTGTTGGTTATGGGCTCAAGAGGGCATTCTAGAACTCAGAGCTGAAATGGGTGAGGCAACCCAGAGGATACAAAAGACCTATGAATAGTTCTCTCTCTGAAGTAGAAGGGTTGACTGAGGAAAGGTGACTCCAATCAGAAAGACAGCATATTATGAACACTTGGTGGATGAAAAATCTCCTGGGTTTGAAGCAAAATAAAGACAGAGCGCAAGCCTTAGGAAACAGGTCTGGAAATGCAGTGTCATCCATAACATGAATAAATCAATTTATCTGCTTGCAATTCTACTAAATCCAGATTTACCCAGAGGAAAAAGGTAAATTGTTTTTAAGCTCAACTCTAAGGGAAAGGTGCCCTGCAGGTAGCCCTTCCTCAGGATGAGTGGAAAATGCTCTGTAGGGCAGAGTTTAAGTGCCAAAGGAGGCCGTTCTTACCCAGTGAGACCAGGTGGTTATAAGTCTCCAGCATCACGTCCCTGTGCAGGGTCCTCTGAGCAGGGCTCAACAATCTCCACTCCTCCTGGGTGAAGTCCACAGCCACATCCCTGAATGCCACGGATGCCTTTAACACAAAACACACCTCTGCTCATCCAGGAGCCTGTCTTTCCCTTCCAGTTTAGAATGAGAGGTCAAGGCCAGGCCCCATGGCTCATGCCTGTAATCCCAGCACTTTGGGAGGCTGAGGTGGGCGGATCACCTGAGGTCGAGAGTTCGAGACCAGCCCTACCAACATGGAGAAACCCCATCTCTACTAAAAATACAAAATTAGCCAGGCGTGGTGGCACATGACTGTAATCCCAGTTACTTGGGAGGCTGAGGCAGGAGAATCGCTTGAACCTGGGAGGCGGGGGTCGTGGTGAGCTGAGACTGTGCCATTGCACTCCAGCCTGGGCAACAAGAGCAAAACTCCATCTAAAAGAAAGACAGAAAGACAAAAAGAAAAGAAAGGAAAGAAAGGAAGAAAGAAAAGAAAGGAAAGAAAGGAAGGAAAGGAAAGGAAGGAAGGAAGGAAGGAAGGAAGGAAGGAAGGAAGGAGAGAGAGAAAGAAAGAGGAAAGAAAGGAAAGAAAGAGGAAAGAAAGGGAAGAAAAGAAAGAAGAATGAGGTCGAAAGGCTTCCCTAAGGGAAGCAGAAAAGATTTCTACACCCTACTTTGGATTGTGACCTTGGCACCAAGGGGTGAAAGACCATTGTTCTTCTATCTCTGCCGAGCCGCACCTATTACTTACTGTCAATATCCCAGGCTAGCTGCTATGGAGGATAAAAGCAAACAAAACCAAAGCCCTTACAAGCTAGAGAGAGTTTTAAAACTAGGCAGGGAGAAGAAGACACCACACAAGCACAACTAAATAGTAAAGAATCATCTTGCTGAGTTTGAAAATTTTCTGAGACTACTTGGTCTCAGTATTTGTTCTACTTGAAGCAGTGGCGCCTCTGGGGTTTGGGGGCAAATAACTCACCAATATATATAGTTCCTACAGCAGGACTCACTCCTTCCTCTACCAAATGCTGCCACATGCCTGCTCAGGCCTAAGGAGGGAAACTGGGTGGTGATGAAGAGTGTGGACTCAAACCACACTATCTGGATTTGGAACCCATCTCTGTCCCCAACTAGTGTAACCTCAGGCACTGAATTAGCTGCTCAGCACGTCAGTTTCTCCTGTGAACTAAAAATAACAGTGCTTATCTCAAAGGGTTGTGGTTAGGATTAGGATTACTGTGAAGGGCTCAGACAAAATGCCTGGTGCAGTCCCTGGTTGTTCTATGTAAAATTCCACACCCTCACGCGGGTTTCATTCCCCTCGCCTGCTTTACTGTGTTCCCTTAACTCTAAGATAATACATGATATTCATTTCTACTTTCTGGCTTCCCACTAGACATCAGTTCCATGTGCATGGCTGGATCACTGTGATTGCCCTGGTGTCTACAACAGAATCTGCAAATACTTAGCAGTCAGATATTTTTAAATAGCCGAAAATGATTTATTATTATTAGACAAGCAACAAAGTTTCAAACGAACCTCTGCTACCTAGAAAGCTGTACTTTGGAGGATGGGAATATATAACCGTCCTTGGCATGGAAGTTCGGTGAGATTTCCAAATGAGTCTGGAAATCTAGCACTGGGATTCTTCCCTGCTCAACACTTACTCTCTTTGGGTACAATCTATAGTCCATAGAGGGGTTTAATTTGACCATATACTGCTTTAAAACTTGTGTTTATATCAATTAAATGTTGGAAGATTTCATATGAAAATCTGAATCTGTGGGTTCTGTTAAAAGTCCATAAATCTGACCACCCTGGGCACTGCACTGCTATAGGACCACAGTTGGCTGATGGTGACTCATGCTGGGGGTCTATCAGCTGCAACACACTATTGGAGACTGCCTCACCAGTGTCATTCATTTAGGCATATGCCTTGTCTCTTTGATTTGATTTTGCATCCCCTTCTCAGAATGCCTCCATCACTCCTTGAGGGTACGACATGGTGTCTCCAAAACTAATTCCACACTGTACCCTTCCCAGGGAATCCTCCCTACATTTCCTGTCCCCTACCAGCTCCATTATTCTACACTGGCTGGCCTATGAAATGGCCTTAAGACTCTACCCATACCCAGTTATACTGATAGCTGTCTCCAAACCCAGCCACTCCCAATGCACTGAATCACAAGAGGAGGGCACAGATGAGTGACAGCTTTGGTTCTCACACCTCATCTCTCTCTGGCTATACTTCAGAGCTACCTGGGTGGTGTTTTAAATTATGGATTCTTGAGTCCCACCACAAATCAATAAAACCAGGAGGCCTGGGGGCGGTGGCTCTTTGGGAAGCTGAGGCGGGCAGATCAGGAGGTCATGAGATCAAGACCATCCTGGCTAACACAGTGAAACCCCAACTCTACTAAAAATACAAAAAACTAGCCGGGCGTGGTGGCGGGTGCTTATAGTCCCAGCTACTTGGGAGGCTGAGGCAGGAGAATGGCGTGAACCCGGGAGGCGGAGCTGCAGTGAGCCAAGATGGTGCCACTGCACTCCAGCCTGGGCGACAGAGTTAGACTCTGTCTCAAAAAATAATAATAATAAAAAAATAAAAAAACAGGGGATGGGGCTTTTGTACTTCTAAAGGCTCCTAAAAGTAGAGTGATAGTTGTGAATCACTAGGTCAGAGAAATTTCAAGAGGGAGAGGTCATGTAGGATTGAGGATCAGGAAAAGTTCATGAGAAGGAGGTACTCACTGTTGAATCTAGGTGGTGGTAAGTGAGTGTTCAATGTATAAGGCTTCCTGGTTTTTTCCATATGTCTGAAACTGTTTATCATTAAACACTGGAGAGAAAAAGACTATTCAGGTACCTGCCTAGTCGCTGCTGTGATTTGCTTTTACAACCCCTTCTCAGAACATACACACATACACCCCTTGAAAAACTCCAGTGAAGGAGCAACATTACAGAGCAACTAATGTTACTTTAACACATTTAACACATCCGGTTATTCCTCCAGCCCCGGAACAACTCATGGTTTGTCTGTGAACCATGCATGTAGGGGGCATTATAAACACTGTATGGCTGACCCTCATGATCCACTCCAATCCCACGGAGTAGAAACACAGCTAGAAGCTTGGGGGAGTTAATTCATCCACTTGCCAGCTGAAAAGTAAATATATGAAAAATGAATGGTAACCAACAGGCCACAAGAAGTTTTACTGCAGGATTCTAGCAAAAGACTTCTTCTGACTTGTAAGATGGAGTCACAGGAGGTCAGCACTTTTCCTGATGCTCAGAAACATGGGCGCAGATTACCCAAAAGAGGCAGCAGGGCTTAGTGCACTGGCTCAGTGTGTGGTCCCTGAACCTGCAGCACTAGCATCCCCTGGGAACTTGTTAGAAATAAAAATTCTCAGTCCCCATCCTAGGGCTACTGAGTCAGAAACTGTGGGGGGAGACCAGCAACCTCTTTGAACAAGGCTTCCAAGTAATTCTGATGCACACTAAAGTTTAACAACTACTCAGTGGCTAAAAGCACAAACTTTGGAGACAAACTGTTTAAATTACAGTCCCCTCTCTTAGTTATCTTATCTACTTAGATATCTTAGTATCTGTGTCTCAATTTCCTATAAAATCGATATTATAATAGTACTCACCTTATAGGGCCATTGTGAGAATTAAACAAAGTTGCTATTGGGAAACATCCTATGGCTTTGAGGGGAACCAGCCTGGATGAGGCTGACACTGTAGAGAACAGGTTAGACTGCGGAGACGAAAGAACCCCAGTCCTTGGTAAGCTTATGGAGCTGAAGGACCAACCCCAAAGTGCACCCTCTCTCTGAACTTCCTTTTATATAGGCTAAGTTATTTATTGTTTAGAACAACCTAAATTAGGTTTACTGTTGCCTGCAGCCAAAAGCATTGTATCTAACCAGTGGGTGGGTACAGTGGTGGCCCCAGTGAATCATGCCTCCCTGTTTCTACCCTTCATGCAATCTCCTCCTAAACTAACCCTGGGCTTGGCCATGGGACTTGCTTTATCCAGTGGGACATCAGCAAACATGATGCAAGCAGATGTTTGAGAGGCATTTGAGTTCAGGGCTGGCCTTCTCTCTGTGCAGGAAACCTTGAGACCACCATATGAATAACCTGAGCTTGCCGGCTGAAGAGGCCACATGGAGCAGAACCAGGAATCGAAGCATCCCAGCCAACCAGGCTGTCAACCACCAGACAGGTTGAGACCATCCGGCTCTAGCTGAGCAGCCTACAGTCACATGTGGATGCCAAGAGGATCAGCCCAGCCATGCCGGGCCTACTTGCTGACCCACAGGATTTTGAAAAAATGATTTCATTTTAAGCCGCTAAGTTCTTTTTTTTTTTTTTTGAGATGGAGTCTCACTCTGTCACCCAGGCTGGAGTACAACGGCGTGGTCTCAGCTCACTGCAACCTCCGCCTCCTGGGTTCAAGTGATTCTCCTGCTCCCGCCTCAGCCTCCCAAGTAGCTGTGATTACAGGCGTGTGCCACCACATCCGGCTAATTTTTGTATTTTTAGTAGAGAGGGGGTTTCACTTTATTGGCCAGGCTGGTCTCAAACTCCTGACCTTGTGATCCACCTGCCTCGGCCTTCCTAAGTGCTGGGATTACAGGCAAAAGCCACTGCACCCGGCCTAAGCTGCTATGTTCTTTAGGCCGCTAAGTTGGTACACAGAAGTGAAGTGCTGCCATAACAAAATGCCTAAAACATGTGGCATTAGCTTTGGGAGCAGGACATGGGCAGAGGCTTGGAAAGCATCCAGGAAAACTATTAACACGGGCTGGAAAAGCAGTAAACAAACTGCTAGTGGGAACTGGAAAAGGAGTGAGGAAACTGATATGGCAGCTTGAACAAGGCAACTTGTACTATATATTAGCAAAGCTATTGCCCGCATAAACTTGGAAAACAAAAAATATATCTGATGAATTTTTGGATCTAGCTAAAGAGATCTCCAGAAAGCCTGTTAAAAGTTTCAGCTGTGGCCGGGCGTGGTGGCTCAAGCCTGTAATCCCAGCACTTTGGGAGGCCGAGACGGGCGGATCACGAGGTCAGGAGATCGAGACCATCCTGGCTAACACGGTGAAACCCCGTCTCTATTAAGAAATACAAAAAACTCGCCGGGCGAGGCGGCGGGCGCCTGTAGTCCCAGCTACTCGGGAGGCTGAGGCCGGAGAATGGCGTGAACCCGGGAGGCGGAACTTGCAGTGAGCTGAGATCTGGCCACTGCACTCCAGCCTGGGCGACAGAGTGGGACTCCGTCTCAAAAAAAAAAAAAAAAAAAAAAAAAAAAAAAGTTTCAGCTGGGCCAGGCGTGGGGGCTCATGCCTGTAATTCCACAATTTGGGAGGCCAAGGCGGGCGGATCACCTGAGGTCAGGAGTTCGAGACAAGCCTGACTAACATGGAGAAACCCCGTCTCTACTAAAAACACAAAATTACCCAGGTGTAGTGGTGCATGCCTGTAATCCCAGCTACTTGGGAGGCTGAGGCAGGAGAATCGCTTGAATCTGGGAGTGCAGGTTGCAGTGAGCCGATATCGCATCATTGCACTCCAGCCTGGGCAACAAGAGGGAAACTGTCTCAAAAAAAAAAAAAATCAGTTGGATGTTTCTAGCGACATATAATAATGTCCAGAAACAGAAGAGCTAAAGAAGTAATTATATAGCTTGCAAGCATAATTTAAAGGAAATATAGACAAGTCAGGACTTGCTAGCTTGGAAATAACATTGTTTTACATCTTCAGTCTCTCCAGCTGGCACATGTCTCAAAATAAAAAAATACACTCAGAGTACAGATCGAATCAAGAGTTTGCCTAAAAGACCCAAACTTTAGGACCTCTGAAGTGTTAAGGGGATGTCTAGTGGAGTCTCCAAGCTAGACAAAAAGGCTTCTGAGATTCGTATGGGCATTGTCCCATAGCACCGACATCTTGCCAAAGATGAGAAGCCTATTTGACTGTGATTTCAGCTTTTGCTTAATAGAGCAGTCCCAAATCTGGTACATGGGAAACCCATAGAGCTTTCAAGGAAGTCCGAAGGATCTGAAACAGTTCAAAATGAAGAGGCCTCCTCCATGCCTAATTCCTGTCCTTTCTGAATGGGAGCATCTACTGCAGTGTCTCTCTCTCAGCGCTGTATGTTAGGTAGGGAGTGTTTGGGGTGGAGGGAAACAAATGACTTGCCTTTTTAGTATACAGGTATCTGACTTAAAAAGGATCCATTGAAGAAGCTTTAGCCATATTCAGACTGTTACACATAAGATACTGGACTTTTGAATTTGAAGATGAAACTTTTGGGGATCTTGGGAGGGGGGTGAGTTTATCTTGCACATGGTAAGGGTATGAATCATTGGGACCAATAAATCATGTCTCCCTCTATCTACTCCCTTATGTTATCCCCCTCCTATGATGACTCTGGACTTGGTCATGTGACTTCCTTTGGCCAAAAGGACATCAGTGAACATGACAAAAGCCAAAACGTTAAAAGTACTTGTTAACTGGGGCTGTCCTCTCTTCCTGTGTAGAGAAACCCAAGACCATTTGACCAAGCCCAAGCCCACATGGAAGAGAACCAAGAAGAAACTAGGCACCCCAGTCAACCAGCCTCCTGTCACGCATGGATAGTCCTCCAGCCCTGGTCAAAATGCCAGCTGACTGCAGCAAAATGACAAGACCAGGTGAAACCTGCAAAACCTACCTGCGCCCAGCCCCAAATATGAACCTACCCAATTATGTGCTAATAAGTGATTTTGTTTTAAGCCATTGATGTTTAGGATTGTTTATTACACAGCAAAGGCTGATACACTGATAGAGCGATCACGTTATATGAAAAATACTTGGTGACTAACGTGACCGTCGGCTTGCTGGGATGCCCATGATGTCAGAAACTCCTAAGCTAGTCTTGGAGAGCAGCAGATTCAGTCTTCCCATTTCTCACTCACTCCTGGGCATGAATTCATTAAATGGGAAAGGGAACAACAGACTGACCTGACCTACTTTTATTTTTCTCCTCTTTTTTCAGCTGAGTAGATAAAAAGCAAATGTAAATGTATCTAAGTTAAAAGTATACATAAGATGACTCCCCTGTGGTAACAATAAACACATTTTCAGACTGAATAATCAGAACATGACGTCAGACAACAGGATACAACACTTGAAATGAGGACTGTTCTAAATATCTAGGATACCGAAATGAGGCACTAAAGGTTTCTGAAGGTTTCTGAAAAGTGATGTTACTGCAATGTTGGGGAAAATGAGGATTACAGAAACATGTAGTGGGTGGCAAAGAACCAAGTCAACATTTGGAAACAAATCAGGACACTATGTGAGCTTTCACATGAGAGAAGAAAGAAATCTGAGTTGGCAGGTCTACCCTGGTAATCAAAATCTGCACAGTGTAATAATTAGAATAAAAACAAATAAAAGTTGCATAGTAGGGCTGGGCATGGTTGCTCACACCTGTAATCCCAGCACTTTCGGAGGCCGAGGTGGGTGGATCACCTGAGGTTAGGAGTTCAAGACCAATCCGACCAACATGGTGAAACCCCATCTCTACTAAAAATACAAAATGAACCGGGCATGGTGGCGCATGCCTGTAATTCCAGCTACTTGGAAGGCTAAGGCAGGAGAATCACTCGAACCTGGGAGGCAGAGGTTGCAGTGAGCTGAGATCATGCCATTGCACTCCAGCCTGGGCAACAAGAATGAAACTCAGGCCGGGCGTGGTGGCTCAAGCCTGTAGTCTCAGTGTTGCTCTGATAACATCCAGGAATGCATAATCCCCACCACAGGAGTCCACAATTAAGAAATCTCTTTTCCTGTCTAAATTCCACTCAGATTTCTTGGTAAGAATAGTGAAGGCAAATCTGAAATAACCAAGTTAACCCATATCAAAAATCACTGTTAACCAGCCTGGCAACTGTGTTGCTGCTTGAGCCACCACACCTGGCCAAGGTTGATTTTTAAATACGCATAAGGGGCCGGGCGCGGTGGCTCACGCCTATAATCCCAGCACTTTGGGAGGCCAAGGTGGGTGGATCATGAGGTCAGGAGATCGATACCATCCTGGCTGACACAGTGAAATCCCGTCTCTACTAAAAATACAAAAAATTAGCCAGGCGTGGTGTCGAGCGCCTGTAGTCCCAGCTACTAGGGAGACTGAGACAGGAGAATGGCATGCACCTGGGAGGTGGTGCTTGCAGTAAGCCAAGATGGCGCCACTGCACTCCAGCCTGGGTGACAGAGTGAGACTCGTCTCAAAACAAAAACAGAAACAAAAACAAAAAACCTTCAGCAAGTCCACTGGCCACCATAATCCTTATACACTGTAGTGACAGTCCAGCCTCTGAAACTAACTATGCTTCCTTGCCACCTCCCACTGGAATGCCTTCCCCCAGTCTCCAACTTACCAAACCAGTCAGGGGCAACTGAGACAGCCCTACTTCTAGGAGTCCTCCCCAAGCATTTGAAATCACAGCATCTGTGCTGTCCCTGCCCTTCATCCACATCACCAAACAATTATGCATGTATGTCTCTTTACTTTTATTTAAACTGTTCCACATATGTTGTTCACAATTAACTATTTCATGAGTGACTGTGGTATGGATGGAGCAGCAAGGAATGCTGAGGGAAGACTCCTGTCAGAATGAGCCACTCTTCCAGTACTAGGAATGATCTCAAAGGTAAAATTCAGGTCAGACTATGTTGGGAGTCGAAAAGACCAAAGGGATCATGCCCAACTCAGCATTTCACTGGAGGTTATATAATCAAACAGCGAACTGTTTACCATGAATGCAGGATGTGAGCAAACTCACACTGCGCCTGACACCAAAAGGTTTGCTGCGGGCCATCACTGCCTGGCGCTGGGCTCCTTGAAGTAATCTGCCAGGAAATCTAGCGCCCATTGTTGGAAGGATGCAGTCTCCCAATTGAGAACCAAATGGCCAACTGACAATTACCTGACATTCATCCCCCCTTTCTCGTTATCTCTTTTACCAATAAATACGGGAGAGTTGTGTAAAGCTCAGGGCCCTTGACCACTAGAGACAAAGTGCCCCCTGACCGCTTCTTCCAAATATACTCTTTTGTCTCTTGTTTTTTATTCCCTTTGTTCTGTCCACCAGGTCCGTGTAGGTTAAAAGTGGCGCCCCGGACAGCGACAGAATCGGATGCTCTACAAGACTATATCAAACTCCTCCTTGTTCTACAGACTAGTAATGACTAGGACTAGGAATGACTTTGCCCAATACCAACAAGGCAGCCTCCAGGACAAAAGGTAATGGAACCCATTCTGTTGACAGCCAAGATGGAATTACAGGTAATTCTCACCTCTTTTTTGGCTCTCAGGAGCCCTGTGGCCATTTTCCTGGTCTCCTGCGTGCTCTTCCTGGAGAAGGGCAAAGTCTCAGAAGACAGATCTGGGGATGTGAAGAGAAATAAAAGAGTGGCCTAGGTGGAAACTGCCTCCCCATGAGATGAAGCGCAGACCGCTCCAGAGCCCCATAGTTGGGGTCGGGGATGTCACAGAAATCACCGGGGCAGCCAATTCCCATCCAGAGGGGGCCCAGGATGACCCAACACCCTCAAGCTCAGCCGCAAGCTCGGGCCCGGGAGTAAAGCCCTTGTCCCCAAACAACAGAGTGAGGGTTTGTCTCTAACCCTGTGGACTCCAATGAAAAGAAAATGACCTGGAGGTGCCCACAGGAGAGCGTCCGAGTTCTGAGCCAGCTCTGCGGCTCCCAGCCTGCGTCCCCATGAGTAACACAGGGACACGGAGAGGGGCATGCTGCCTGCCTATAGGGCACTCACGGAACGCGGGTGCACGCTGCGGATCCTGAAGCCGAAAGTCAGGTAACAAGGTGCAGATGGGTGGGAGAGACCTGAAGCGGGAGGCCTTCCCGGATCCCAAAAAGCCTAACGCGCCGGGCCCACCGACCGGACGGGCTTCTGACGTCAACGCTACACACTGAAGGAGGATAGGGAGGGGGCGGAAGTGACCGCAGAGGCCTCTGGGGATTGTAGTTTCGAACCTAGAGAGGCGCCGGCCACCACACCCAGCTAGGGTTTTTTTTGTATTTTTTTTAGTAGAGACGAGGGTTCACCGGGTTAGCCAGGATGGTCTCGATCTCCTGACCTCGTGATCCGCCCGTCTCGGCCTCCCAAAGTGCTGGGATTACAGGCTTGAGCCACCGCGCCCGGCCCTAATCACCTCTTAAAGGCTGCACTGGTCATCGCTGCTGCATTAGGGGTTGAGTTTCCCACGCATGAACTTCGGGGAACACACTCAAACCACAGCAGTCCTCATGGAAACCTTCCAGAAAATGTGTGTGCCTGGCACTCCGGAATCCCTCTTTTCCACCCCTTCTCCCTGCAGCTCTAACATCGTGTCCCTTCATTATTTTCCATTTGAGCATAGGAAAGAACACTTTCCTACATTACACTTTACATTCCTGCATTACACATTACACAAAGAACACTACACCCATTTCTTATGAACCTTTCCTACACTAAAATAATTCCATCACTCAGATAGAAATTTGCAAAAATAAATTTTCATTTTTGACATGAGAATATAGTTTAATGGAAACCCTAAAATACATAGAAAATAAAAATAATCACCAAAAATGTTCCATGAATCAAAGCAACACATATAGTGAGATCTTATATCCTAAAATATATAGACCTAAATATGTTATTTTAAAAATTGAGGAAGAAACACAAGGAACTCTATACACACCTTTAAAAATATGCTGTCTAGTTTAATTCTAGAATTAATTTGGAATTCTGTTAAGAAAGATATATTTTAATAGGAAAAGTAAGTCATTAATGTATCAAAGAAAACAATCATTCTTGTATTGCAAATAAATGCCCAACCAAGACAAAAAGGCACGTCACATCTTATGGGAAAAGATGGAAATGAGGGTGAGAGGAAAACTGTGACCATTGAATGTAAGACAGAAAAAAGTCAGGGCAGGATGTTAAGGAATTGGAAATGATTTTCCAAATTAAAGGAATATGAGACAGAAAGAGGAGAGAGGGAGGCAATAGTCTCCCTCCAGGGGTGTGGGGGTACCTCCCTTTCAAAGGGCTGTTTCCTGTATTAACTGACTCCCCATTAAGAAAATATATATATACTGACAAATTATATTGTACCCCACAAATTGTATATGTTTGTTCAAAAATATTTCAAAGAATTTTTTTTGGCTGATTTTTATCTATCTTCTAAATTGTATATATTTATGGGGTACAAAATGATGGTATGATTTTTCATTACAGTGTGGAATGATGAAATCAAATTAACCTACCCATTACCTCAAATACTTGACCTTTTTTTTGTGATGAGAATGCTATTTATCACTTTCATCATCACCTGCTGATGACATCCATGCTAGGGACAGGAAAGGCTCCACACTCCCAACAGACTCCCTCCAATAGACACTGGGGATGTGAAAGTAGATGGGAATAAAGGAGGAAGAGAGAGCAGTGGGGATGTACATAAAATCACCCTCCAGAGCTGTGCTGTCCAATAAGGCAGCCACTTGACACATGCGGCTGCTGAGCACTTGAAAGACTGCTAAGGCCAGGAGCGGTACCTCATACCTATAATCCCAGCACTTTGGGAGGCCAAGCCAGATGGATCACTTGACGTCAGGAGTTCGAGACCAGCCTGGACAACATGGTGAAACCCTATCTATACAAAAAATACAAAAATTAGCCAAGTATGGTGGCGAGCACCTGTAGTCTCAGCTACTAGAGAAGCTGAGGTGGGAGAATCACTGGAACCTGGGAGGCGGAGGTTGCAGTGAGACGAGATCATACCACTCACTGCACTCCAGCCGGGGCAACAGAGTGAGACCCTATCACCCTACCTTAAAAAAAAAAAAAAAAAAGGTCTGGGCACGGTGGCTCACACCTGTAATCCCAGCACTTTGGGAGGCCAAGGCAGGTGGATCAGCTCGGCCTCCCAAAGTGCTGGGATTACAGGCGTGAGCCACCATACCCAGCCTCTTTTTAACTTTTCTAAAGTGACTACTAGAAAATCTAAAATGACTTATGTGTCTGGCACCGTATTTCTACTGGAAACCACTGCTCTAGATAGAAATGGTCTCTGGGGAGGCAGAAATACGAGAACCACAAGAGAGGTGGATGGACGGAAGTGACAGACACATCTGGTGGGTACCTTCAGGTGCTGACAGCGGGAACCCAGGAGATTCGGGTGTAGACAGGCCCCATCTATGCACAGCAGGAGAGGAGCATGGCTGACACTAGGGGTGCTGAGCTGACATACAGAACTATTCAGCTTTATAAACGTGAAAAACATACCGCTAAGTCACTGACAACCCACAGAACAAATCGTAACAGAAATGAGAAATACACTTAGGAACAAATGAAATGATATATAAATATCCAGTATGAAAACTGGCTGGCTTAAGAAACAAGCCTTTTCTCTCCAATACAAGTTGAAATTATAAGAGAAATGAGGGCCCAAATCAAAAACCCAAGATTGCTGTGATGCTTCATTTTGAAGCAGGAACCTCACTTTCGTGCTGGGTTTGAAGGTGCCCTCTACTGTCCCCTCTATTCTTTGCCCTTTTTGATGAAAAGTTGCCTTTCTTGTTAAGTTAGAAATCCGTAGCAGAGAGAAGACTGAGGAAAAACCAAATTTGGGTATTTAAGAAAGTAAAGTTCAAAATGGCCTGCTAAAGAGAATGAATCTTGATGGAAAATATAAAATACTTCTTTACGAACATTAAAGAAAATTCTAACAACCAAAATGTTTGGAATTAGGGTAACTGAAATGGCAGTTTAATCCTCCTGAAGGAATTTTAATTTATCACTAACAGTACTTTAAAGCTAGGGGTAGAAAATTATTTTTATAGCTTTTCGCAAGCATTAAAGCTAAAAATCCAAATTCAGGTCTGTCTCTGATGGGAACGCCTCCTAAAAACAGAAGAAGCCTATAGGACTTTAGCCTGGAAACTACTCAGGGAATCTGGAATACTTCCTCAGGGGTTATCTACAATTGAAACCTGGCAGTAATTAAAAAAACAAAACAAAACAAAACAGATAACCTTGGGATACGGCTGGAGGTCTACAGGTGGGTCATTTTATATCCTGAAGTCTAAACAAGATGATTATGGCCCCTTCAAATGATGTAAACAAAAGGAGAATAAATTGGAAGACAGCACAGATGAGTGGTTTACAGGGAGTACCTGCTTTTTTTCCTCTGGTTTTCAGGTCTCTTTGTTGCTGAGGGATCCAGCCCCAGCTCTAGACCAAGAAATGGGAAGATTTTAGAGTGACTAGTGATCTATCATCTACAATTATTAAATATTCTCAGCAGTTTATGCAAAAGATAACAAAACCACTGCAGATAACTAAGACTAGGTAATACATATCTGTTTCCCAAATACCTACCCACAAGCTGAACAATTTTTTTTTTTTTTGAGACAGTCTTGCTACGTTGCCCGGGCTGGAGTGCAACGGCAAGATCTCAGCTCACTGAAATCGCTACCTCCTGGGTTCAAGCGATTCTCCTGCCTCAGCCTCCCAAGTAGCTGGGATTACAGGCGTGCGCCACCACACCTGGCTAATTTTTGTATTTTTAGTAGAGATGGGGTTTTGCCATGTTGGCCAGCCTAGTCTCAAACTCCTGACCTCAGGTTATACACCCACCTCAGCCTCCCAAAGTGCTGAGATTACAGGCGTGAGCCACCGGGCCCGGCCAAGCCAAATGGTTCTAAGCTGCTGGGATCATTGCCTCTATTACCACCACGACATCAGGTCACAACCAAACCATCAAGCATGAAACAGACAGAATGTTTCCACTCCTAACCACTGTGTGGAAAAGCACAGAGCTTACCCATTGGGGCGCTGCATCAGAAGAGGCGCACATGCACCGGGGTGTGCGTTTGAAGGGAGCGATCAGACTTCCATCCCCACAGCTCCTCTGTTCATGGGCACTGCAGTCTGTGGCCTCATGTCCTTTGGGGGACATAGTGGGAAGGTAACCCACATGCCAGTGGAAAGAGACACTGTGGGACTTTGCCCTGATTTCTCAGGGGCCTTTTCTCTTTTCCCTTTGGGTTATGTGTAGACATCCCCACTGTCCGCCTGACCACTCTCGTGCAGCCCAAAACCATAGCCTAAGTCATCAGCTAGGCCTTTCTTGGTGTAACTACTGAAAGGTGAGTCTTACCTGTTCAACCTCTAGAGAGATTCATCTAAAATCTGGACCTACAAAAATAAAAAAACAAGATTTGCCTGAGTATGTTTGGCCTCTCCCTTCTGTGGGACTCCCTTAAGAACCATCAGCCCCTCTTTGCTCAACAACTCCTTGTGACCCTCCTTCAGGATCACAGGGCAAATCCCACTGGCTCCACACACTATAGCACAATACAGACACACAGAGAAAAAGACCCAAGAGAACCCACTTTAATACAAAGTCAGGGAGGGGTGTCACCATGAAATGTTCAAGCTTGCAGTGGGTGGCAGAGGTAGTGCGTCCTGAGACTCCAGATCCTAGTGGAGGTGGGAGGCGGACATTAGGCTTTGAGGAGACGTGTAGGCCAAATTACATCTGTGCAAACTCACGCACAATGAAATTTACACCAGGTCGGGTGAGGTGGTTTAGAAATGACAGAAAGCAGAGGAAGAGGCTGACAATATGGGCTTCTCTATAAAGTATGAGGACAGTAAATGACAGCAACAGTCCCGGAAGTGTTTATAGCACATTCCTTCAATTAACAGGGCAGTTAGAGCAGCAAGGACCAGATGGAGGCCAGGCACTTCCCCTGGGGCAACCGATGTAAACTTGGAAATCAGTCACCCTTGGTGTCACCATTTTCCTCACGATGAATTAAACATACAGAGAAGTTCACTGATGGGTTTGGCATCAGAAAGCTGATAAAGGCTGGCTCTGAACCTAAACAGCGGCTGTTGGTTTCCCAGGCATATACCGAACGCTCATTGACTAAAAATCACCCTCACTTGATAAGCGCAAAGAAACTCACATTCCACATCCAAGTTATCCGTTCTGGTGGGTATTTGCTCTGTAAATTACATACGACAGAAGAAAAAGAAAATGAAAACTCAGGAAAGTAAACACACTTCTAAACTCATGAATGGTAAAATACAGGAATACAATCCCCTTGAGAATTCATCAGAATATCCAAAGAAAATGCAATATACATGAGGGTAAAAAGGCCATTTGGCAAAGCCTGCAAAGTGAATCAAAAATCTGGTTTACAAGGATTTGTAAAAAAATACGTATATACGTACGTGTGTGTATATATATGTATATATGTATGTGTATATATATGTATATATGTGTGTCTGTGTGTGTGTGTGTGTGTGTGTATATATATATATATTTTTTTTTAGACTGAGTCTCGCTCTATGCCCAGGCTGGAGTGCAGTGGCACAATCTCAGCTCGGCTCACTGAAACCTCCGCCTCCCAGGTTCAAGCAATTCTCCTGCCTCAGCCTCTTAAGTAGCTGGGATTACAGGCGCCCGCCACCACGCCCGGCTGATTTTTGTATTTTCAGTAGAGACGGGGTTTCACCAAGTTGGCCACGCTAGTCTTGAACACCTGACCTCAACTGATCCACCCGCCTAGGCCTCCCAAAGTGCTAGGATTACAGGTGTGAGCCACCGCGCTCAGCCCACCAAGATTTTAAAGGAGTTAAGAAGACAGAATCATTACCGTTATAAAAAAAATCAAAACCCACTTTGGGAGGCCGAGGCGGGCAAACCACGAGGTCACGAGATCAAGATCATCCTGGCCAACATGGTGAAACCCCATCTCTACTAACAATACAAAAGTTAGCTGGGTGTGGTGGCATGCGCCTATAATCCCACCTACTCAGGAGGCTGAGGTAGGAGAATCACGTGAATCCGGGAGGTAGAGGTTGCAGTGAGCCGAGATCATGCCACTGCACTCCAGACTGGCAACAGAGCCAGACTCCGTCTCAAAAAAAAAAAAAAAAATCAAAACTAGGATTATATTTCATAAAGGAAATCCCAATACCTCCTTAGCTGGCTGTTTCTTTCACAAAAGTTACTCTATATATTATACGTGCCCCAAAAATAAGATTTTAAAGAAATTGGGGGAGAAACTGCTACTGAGGTACCAAAACCAGGAATTTAATTCCTTTAAAACAATTCCAAAGTAACTTGCTATGCCTTTGACAGAAACAGAAACGTCTCAAAATAAGTGTTTTATTAAGCCTGAGAAGTTGCTGTTGTTAGGACAATCAAAACTAAAAATTGGTTTATTTAGTAACAACAACAACAACAAAAAGCCATTTTAACTGGCTGTCCTTATCGAACACATCCCACTAAATAATACAACTGGCAAAAAGTGGGAAATTTTAAAGGTCGGGGAGCCATATTATAAACATAATCTAAACCAGGAGTTTATTTTATTTAATAAACCTAAACCCAGCAGTCACTCCCTCCCCTCGGGGCATTCTGCAACAAAACACCTGCTGAAAAATAAAAGGATGTTTTACCTGAGTGGGCTGAAAAGTCCCCGTTTTTATACCTTTAATCTCTAGATCCTATGGGTCAGAGGTCGTGAAACTACATCAGCCCCAGTCCGGGCGCCCATGAGACCTGTGGACGGCCAGGGAAGGGCCTGGACGCAGCCTGCGCCCCAGTTTCTGCCGTGGCGATGGCCGACTGAAGGCCAGGACTCCCCGACGCTGACCCTCCAGCGTCCCATGTTTGGCAGACGCTCGGCCGCACACCCCAAAGTTGCTGAGCCACGATTCCCGCTGTGCGCCAGGATGGCGCCTGCATACCCAGCGTGCGCAGGGCTCCTGGATACTTGGGGGCGGGCTTCCGGAAACGGTGACCAATGGGAAACGCGACCAGCTGTTAATAGGCAGACAGTCTGTATCCAGGCAACACAGAAAGAAGGGAAAGTGGCAGTCACACTTAAGTAGACAGATCTTTTAGCCAATGGATGTGCAAGATAGGGGAGGTTTGCTCCATATTGGGCATTAAGAAGCGCTTGGGCCGACCCGCCTCCAAGTCCTGGGAGGACAGTTCAAATTATGGAGGAGGGGGCAGGTGCTAGGCAGCAGTGGCAAGGGGAGTAGCGGGGAGTAGAGGGAGCACGAGATCATGTACCTTTGCCGCTCAGATTACCAAGCCCGTGACTGAGAATCGGTGTCTTCCTTGCAAGGTTTCAATCTGAGGCTCTTGGGAAGAGGGCAGAGTTGGAGACTGATGGAAGCGCGGTGGGGAGAGGAGCGGGTGAAGGGAGAGTGGAGAATGTGTCAGTCAGGCGGTGTCTTTATTCCTGGCACCTCACTTAGCCTGCTCGAGTTTCTCAATCTATTCCAGGAGCACTCTCTTGACCCTGCAGGGGCCTGAAAGGGAATGTTGATCGCCAGTGTCTGCTTTCTTGGACTGGATTGGAATTGGTCCCACGAATTTAGGCATTATGATACATTGCTGCTTTTAGACTCACTTGGTTTTTACATTGTGCTTTCTTTTCCCCTTTCCCTTCAGGAATTTAAAATGTTCTCTTTGCTTTATCTATTTAATTATATATGATTGCCTTGAAGATTTCGGCTTGAATTAAAATTACATATATGTTTTTTACCTGTCTTTATTATTAAAAAATAATAAAATAACACATGTTCATAATGAAAATGAAATATTACAAATAAATATAAAGGAAAGCATTATTCCCCCTCCAGTTCCACTCTTGAAATAATGAGTTAACAAGATGATGAGCATCTTCCCATGATATTCTCCACGATTCATGTATTTGCACACACACAGAAGCATATACAGTAGTCCCCCTTTATCCATGGTTCTACTTGCCACAGTTTCAGTTACCCACAGTAAATTGTGGTCTGAAAATATTAAATGCAAGATTCCCAAAAGAAACAGTTCATAAGCTTTAAATTGTGGGCTGTTCTGAGTAGTGTGATGAAATATCTCACTGTCCTGCTTTGTTCTGCCTGGGATATGAACAATCCCTTTGTTCAGCAGATGCATGCTGTATGCGCTACCCATAGTCAGTGAGTAGCCAACTTGGTTATCAGAATGACTGCCGCAGTATCACAGTGCTTGTGTTTAAGTGACTTTAATTTTACCTGATGGCCCTAAAATGCAAGAGTAGTGATGCTGCCAATTTAGATATGTAGAACAGGAGCCCTAAAGTGTTTTCTTTAAGTGAAAATGTGAAAATTCTTGACTGAATAAGGAAAATAAGTCGTATGCTGAGGTTGCTAAGATCTATGGTAAGAACAAATCTAGCTGTGACAGTGTAAGGAGGAAAAAGAAATTTCTGCTAGTCTTGTTCGTTGAACCCCAAGCTCTAAAAAGTACAGCCACATGTGTGATAAGTGCTTAGTTAAGATAAAAAAAAAAAAATTAAATTTGTGCTTGGAAAACAAGCAGAAGTGTGTTCTGATTGACAGCAATTGGGTCAATACTATCCACACTTTCAGACATCCACTGCGGGTCTTAGAACACATCTCCTGCAGGTAAGCGAGGGCTACTATGTAACGTTTCCTTTTTTATTATAAAGCATTTTCCTTTTTTAATGTAACAATTTGCCTCAGATACCACTTCGGGTACAAAGATATTAGGATACCTTTATAGAAGATAAGGAGTTAACTCATTCTTTCTAAGAGTTAAAGTATCTTCCAGTATCTTCCATTATATGAGTAATTAAGATGTTAAAGTACTTTTGCACCAAAAATAATGCTAATTTTTTTTTTTTTTTTGAGATGGAGTTTCACTCTTATACCCCAGGCTGGAGTCCAATGGTGTGATCTTGGCTCACTGCAAACTCCACCTCCCCGGTTCAAGCAATTCTCTTGCCTTAGCCTCCCAAGTAGCTGGGCTTACAAGTGTGTGCCACCACGCCCTGCTAATTTTTGTATTTTTAGTAGAGACGGGGTTTCACCATGTTGGCCAGGCTGGTCTCAAACTCCTGACCTCAAGAGATCCACCACCTCAGCATCCCAAAGTGCTGGAATTACAGACGTCAACCACCACGCCTGGCCTGTAAATATTATTTTACTTATATGAGTTTTTACTTCTGCTGGGACAAATTGCACGAGTAAACAAATACATGTGTATGTAATGTAATATATGTGTATATATAATTATATATGTGAATATACAACTTAATATATACATGTACATAAAATAACATAAACAATTTA